TCTTGAAAATAGTAAAGGAAAATGGAACTTGAGGTCACACAGAAATATGTGTGTCTGTGTGTGAGTGTTTTTAAACTGAACCTGGCCTTTATTTGTTTAATAATCGTGCAACAAATGGACACCAGGGACTATTTCTTTGAATATTTAAATTATTTCCCCGAAGCTCAATACGTATTTTGCTGAAGACACTCAGTTCCATTGACTTAAAGTCCACACAAAATAAAAAGCACGCAACACATACACATATATTCAAATATCGATTGAAGTGGCAACGATGGAAAATCAATAACCAGACACCCACTCATCTGCGACAATGCCGAAGGTCAATAATAATGTAGACAGGCAGCGTGCCTGCCTGGCAGCTTGTTATTTCTTTACTGTGTTTTTTCTTACGGGGGGCGAGTTGGGAAGCAAATGTATTTGCCATTGTCCCAGTTTTGTGAATGTTGGTATCATGACTGTCACGATTGCTCTTGGCCCTGGCATTTTATTTATCATGTCGAAATTGAATTTGTGTTTGTTGACTTGGTCCTGTCAATTGACATGCTAATTGCCGTGCTCTCCCTTCCGAAGGAAGAGAAACAAAAATGGAAACAGAAACAGAAACAGAATGAAGCGCATCTAATTGCAGGAGACCGGCTTAATGTAAACGCTGAAAAATTACTTTGCTAATTACGGCGAGGGAAAATGTGCTTGAGGTGCAAGCGGAAAATGGGCTAACACTTTCCCGACTGTTATTCTTGCTCCACTAAGCGGCATCTAAATGAAAGCCTTTGGCTAAGAACCAGACTGTGTATACCTAATGCACTGGAGAAAAACAAACTAATCTCAGAGTCTAAAGTATTTGGGAATTAATGATTTGACCAAAAACAAACAAAAACCCACCACAATAATAGGAAAATTTATTCAATTAAATAAAGGTACTACAGAATTCGAAATGAATACCAACATTAACACACTTCGGCCTAAGATTTAATCAAATTTCCGTTCAAGTTAAAGATTTCCTGTGCATTTTCTCTTCATTTGGTAACAAAACTCCCACTGCCGTTCGCTCTCTCTCAGTCTCTTCCTCTCTCCACCACTTGAGCCTGAAAGGCGAAAATTGAACAAAGGACTTTGTTTGTTTTTTCAACTAAATTAGTGCAAATAGTGCAAACACACAGATACAGCCACAAGCGAAACGAGGGCGTGGCAATGGCGACGAACACCTGAGCTCCAAAGGACCTGAGGAGCACCTGAGAGCCCAAGAACCTGAGAACCTGAAAACCTGAGAACCGGAGAACCTCAGGCTGAGGCTGCAGCAATGCGGCTTTACCTTGTGCCACTTAGGCACTACGGCAGCGGCACCAACAATGCCACTGTACTGTTGTTTTTAGTGGCATTCACTTTCCCATACACACACACACACACACTTATACTTACATGCAGACGAGGCCCACACACACGTACGAACATATATGCGTTGGCATTGTCTGGCATTTTGTTAGCCTGCGATTTGGACGCTCAAAAGTATGCTATGGTGGCTATTAACTTTCATCTCAATTACACAGACACGCAGCAAAAAAAAAGGTGAAAGGATGAAAAAACTCGAGTTCTTCTTTGTGTATATCTTATCAGATAATAACATGTGTCACAAATATTTATAACTAATATTCAATAAAATCTGATTGATAAATAAACTTGGCAAACCAAAATCGTCGAACCTTTATTTATTAAGAATTTCTTCATCATTCAGCAAAGATTATCTAAAGAAAATATTATTAATATGAGTACAAAGAAGTATTCTAACAAGAATTGCAAGTATATTTTTCCAAGTGAGCTTCATGAAAGACGCCAACGCACACAAGGCCATATATACCGCTACATACATATATTTATTTAAGGAATTTTCCAGCGCCCAAGACAACACAACAATAACAATGCAACACCAACAACAACAACAACAGCAACAACAACGATGGCAATAGCAACGACTGACGCAATGGCACGTTTATGCCACACGTGACCTGCTTTAGCTTTAGCTTTTGGCCAGGTCGCCATCAGTGGCTGCCTCTGCAGTCGCACACTATTTTTAGAAGTGTCTACAGTTAAGTGCACACACCACCAATACACACACCCATACATACACACGCAGGCATATATAGAGCCGCAGAAACACACACATAAACAGCCAGGCAGGACCTGCAGAAATTACCATGCTCAGGACTCGTTGTCGTTGGCATCCTTGCGGTTGTAGCGTGAAACGAGAAGAAAAACTTTGGCGCTCTCTTAAACAACAACATTAAGTACATACACACGCATACACACACACACACAAATATATACAGCAAAAGGAAAATAAGAAGAAGATGTTTAAGCCAAAGCGCAGCAGCAGCAGCAAAAGCAGAAGCGTTGCCGCGAAACTGGAACGTGGAAAAAGGCAAGCCAGTCCAAGTCAAGCCAAGCTAAGAAGTCGCACACTGAAACTCAAAAGGTACTAGGTCCTGAAGGACAACAAATATTACTAAAGGAATTGAATTTGAAAGCTAAAGGATACTCTAAAGTATTGCAAGGCCATAGAAATTGATATACTTTTGAATATTTCTCATGTCTCAAGTCTGCAAATTGTTAAAATCACAGTGTAGGGATGTTGCCGTAGCCTTGGATTTCATTATGCGCATTTTCTACAACTTTTTTGAGCAAGGCGCGTTAGCATTGCATACTTTTAGGCGCTGGCGCCGCTTCTGCTCCTGCTCCTGCTCCTTCACTTGCTGCCGCACTGTGTTTTGTGTCGAGCTTTTGAGCAGACACTGAAATGCAATTTGCATAAGTTTCACAGCTTCTTTCGTTTATATAAGGACACCGAGACCAAGACCAAGGCGAGACGCTTGGCGCCGGCGACACCGACTTTTCTATATAAATATAAATACTATGTGCATAACCCAAGTGCGCCGAACGGCGTGCCACAGAGTCAGCTTGTATGTGCCATCTATCCTCCATGGCTGCGTGCTAAGTATGTGTTGCCTAGCTGTTGGCAATTTTCATAAAAAAAAACCAAAAACAAAAACAAAAACAAAAAAAAAAAATAAACAACAAAATATATAAAATGGTTGGGAAGGGCATGCAACAAAATGAAATTTGTGTTTGTTTTCTACTTTAGTCAGCATAAAAAGTGAAATGACACTGTGTAACGCAGGAAAGAAAGTTACCGTGGCACATAGGAACCATAGCGGAAATCAGCAGGAAATTTCCCCATTCCCTCGTTAAGATGTTTGCTTCGGTGTTTCCTTTTGGTGCACGTGGATGGGAAATGTCGTTAATGTAGCCAAAGGTTACATGCTTGAATATCAGTTTTGATTGAAATTATAGGGAAGAAGAACAAAGCACACATCACATTCTATAAATGTATGTGTACAAAAGCCAATTTCCCAGAACTTAAATGTATAGATAAAAAATATACATATTTGGAAATGTTTTAAACTAGGCATAGATCTTTGAAATCTGTTGTTTATAATCATAAATATATACATGCAAAACCTATAGAATTTAACCTTCATACGTGTTATAAATTGAAGTTCTCATAATAACATAAGATAACATAGAACATACCAACGTTTAAAAGCAAGCTAAAAACTAAAACAGTATTCATAAAATAAGTAAAAATAATTCCTCTACCTTTTAGGAAAGTAAATTAATTCAATTTAAAAATCCAAACAACGGTGTAAAACCTTATCCTAAAAGCCTCAACTGGATTATGACGCTTAGAGCTTTTGTAATACAATTATCCGAAAATAGTTTTTCCCTTCGATTTGCACTAATAAACCCAAATTGACCCATTTTCCCCGCATGCACACACACACTCGTATATGTATATATGGCCCCCGGCATTGGAGTGACATTTGTCTGTCCGTAACTGAACTGTTGCCGCTTGTGGCTGCCCAAACCGGCGACCTCAGAAGCAGCTTGCCACCTAAAGCCGCAGCACGCGCCACTTTTGTCCCAAATCCAGGCAGTTGGTTTTGGCCGCCTGATTCCGTGGTCTGTGGACAGCAGCAGCAGGAGGAGTTCCCATACCCAAATCCGTGCCCACGAGTCCCATGTGAGCCCCACGGGCAAATCACTCATTACACACTTACGCTTGCGCGACTCTGACGAGCTGGAGGAGCTGGCTGACGAGATGATGGAGGCGGCAACGGAGGCGGAGGCGCATATCGCAAATTATGTCAATTTGGATGCTGCTGCAGCCCGCCTGCCTCTGGGACACTCGAGACAGCGACAGCAGCGGGAGGAGTACACTTGAACAAATATAATGTCATGAATTTATAAACCCAAAATAAGAAAGTTCACTTCAAAGGTTAAAGAGGAATCTGCTCAAATCAGACTTAAAATAGCTTGAGATGTAACAGGTTTAAAGAGAAGCAACTTGGATTAGAAGAGATTCTTCCCATCAATTTGACCCTAATCACCTGCTCCCTGTTTTCGCTCAGTGCTCAAGGCTTCAGCCAACTGATAGAGGGCCTAACTGTGTCTGCTCGTCGAGCATTTGACATCTTACATGGGAATTACAAACGCACGAAAATTGCTACCATGTTCGGCGACAGCCCACACACACACACTCACCAATACAGATGTAGCGTGTACCCAACACATATACACCATGTATATTGAGCGTCCGATTGTCTGTCATTCTGTCCATTTGCCAGTTTGTCCTTTAGCCAGTTGGTGTGAGTGGGTGTCCTTTGAGGGAGGAGGATAGAGAGGATGGCCGTCGTTTTCATGTGCAAATTTCTGTAGTGTGCCATAAATTATCCGACTGGGAATTGCTTTTCTATAAAACGTGCGCATATTAAATAAATGTCAACAATTTTTGGCATCGTCTGCAAGCCGAGTCCCTTTCCCAGGACTGGCATTTTTATTCCTCGCTCGTTTTGGCGGCTGTAGAAATTAAATTACGCGTAACACGATTGTGAGGCTCCCTTTTGGGTATTAATGAGCATCAGGGCTGGCAGAATAGGTTCATGATGGATGTGCTCGAGTTTCTGGGTTTTGACAGCTGGACAGGTGAGCGAGCAATTGAATTTTCAATACCAATTTTCCCCCACACACACACGCTTTCAAATCGATTTGGAAACGTCAAACGCTTGCAAATATCTCGGCTTCCTTTTTTTTGTGATTTGCCAATGGGAATTCAATTGATATTCAAATTCTTTTGGGGCTTGGCAGAAATTTTTATTGTCAGCCGTTGGCGGTACATTAAGTGCTCAGATTAGAGGGTAAAGAGCGGCAACGACAGCTCTTTGATTTTGCACCTTGCCATCTGTGATCATTGCACCAGCTGACCCCTTAAAGTTATATTTAATCATTGAGCAACTCGTGGATCCATTAATGTTTTATTCATCCGCCTGATTGATGGCTATGCATTTACACTTCATGTTTCCTTATTAATTTACGACTCCTGGCCACTCCTTGTGACGACAAACAGCGAGTAAAGTAAACTTAAGTGCCGCCCCCATCGACCGCTTTGATCCTCCTCACGCCAAAGGACAATTAGGGACTTTAACTCAACTGTCACATCACAACAGGGGAAATCAGCCAGCGAACTTTAATCCATTGTCATTTGCCTGGATTGGATGGAGGATAGAAGATTGCGAGTGGGTCTTAGCCATCCGGAAACGAAGGCAACGCCCTTAGCATTTATCTATTTCCAGTGACATCAATTGGCAGTTTAAATGCAAAAGACGAGGCCGCCCTGAAATCGCAGACCGGCCATCGTCTTCATCATCGTCATCGTCATCACCATTGCGACGTCATCGCTGCCTTTCCCGTTGTCGTTGTCGTTGGCTTCAATTTGGCATTAATATTCCCACTCACGTACTTGGTTGTGATTATGCGACTACAACGCTGAACGTCAGCGGCTATTGCGGTTGAAAGGAGCTAGATTGGGCGGTTCGGTGGCTCCGGTGGCTCCGGTGGTTGGGCGGATGGGTGACCGCCTTGAAGTTGTCGTGCGGTCGCCATTGCCTTGCGTGCTCCGTGTTTGTGGAGCTGGCGTCTCAACGTGACACTTAAAAGGCAGCGTTTTGTTGACATTTGCTAGGAAATCGACTGAGGAAGGAGTCGTCGAGTCGAGTCGAGTCGAGTCGATTCGAAGTAATTGCGGCAACGCCCACAAAAACTCAGTCCGGGCTGTCAAGGCAAAAAGCACATTTTCATATTGTGTTAATGACTTTGGCAATAGTTTTGTCATGACATTTCAAAAGAGTCGCCCCCACCTGCCATTTCATTCAATTGCATTAGGTGGAAACGGTAATGATACACCAAGGGAAAATGTTTTGATTTGGGAAGGTTTAATGTCTTTGACATAGAATAATTATGAATGTAAACCATTTTAAAAAGGTTAAAGAAACATGTTGATAAATACAAATAAATTTATTTTAAAAGGTTGATAGAAATCTCTTAGAGAGACTCATAATCTTTACTTTAGAATTTTTAACCGTTTTCAAAACAATTTTCTTCCAGTGCACTAATAATTAAATTCTCCCCTTTCTGCTTTATTCCAGTTTCCACAGTGGCCGTGGAGGCCGTTCTGGGACGCACCGCATCCTTGCCCTGCGACATCGAGCCGGAGGCAAAGGACGATCGTGTGTATATGGTGCTCTGGTTCCGTGAGAGTGCCGGCAAGCCGCTTTACAGGTAAGCAGCCTAATTTTAACAGGGCACTTGCTAATTTCATAGTCTCTTTGAGATTTCAAGTATATATGCCTGTGAGTGTGTGTGTCTGTGCGGTTGACAGAAGTTCCGCCCCTTTTTGGAAGGCGGGATGGCCAGCCCAAGTTCTGGGCACCTTTTGATTTATAAGCCGCACCGCACTTCCTTCTCAGTCGACCCGACAGCTTCATGAGAAATGGCAGCAGTTCATAATTTTCAAATAATTTATTATTTTAATAACATCATCAATATCAACTCAACTGGGGTCGAGCCGAATGGGGACCTACACTGGCAGAAAGTATGCTCCTTCTACACGTTTCTCACATAAATAAAATTTAAAAAACAATTTTTAGATAAATAAGAAAGTCTTCCTTGGGGATTATCTACCGACTACATTATCTTGTTTTTCACAAACCAAAATCAAGTTTCTGCGAGTGTCCTTTTCCGCATATGCCTAGTCCCGGAACTGGGGCCAGGACATGCTCCGGGAGTGGGTCAAAGCAAAACAAAGCAACGGCATACTAGGCGGGCCACACAGGGCGACATGGACTCATATATTAGCCGCAGGGCCCGAGGGAAAGGACATTCGAGGTGAAAAGCGGGGCAGCAAAATAATGGCATCCAAAGTGAAAACTGTTTTAGCGGCAACTTTGATTGTGGGTGAGTCCTGGAGGAGAGGATGTCCTCGAGCAGCTCCTGCTGCTGTTATTTATAGAGCTCGCTCGGCGAACGTGTGCTTAGGTTTAATATGTTGCACATTATAAGCAGACATCGATATCCTTTAGCCTTGTCAATTTTGCTTACATGTGCTTCCTTTTCAATATGTTGCCAGCGGGGGTGGGACGTATGAGGACATAGACAACGGCGGGGACATGGACATGGATATCGATATGGCAATGGATATGGATACATACATATATACATACAGAGTATGTGTATAGACGCACGTGTATCTCAAGGGCGAGCGCGAGTTGTTCGCAGGACACTCTCTCTATCCCTCTCTCTCTCTCTGTTTCTTTTCTATTCCGATCCTTGTTGTTGCCATTTCGTGCACTCAATTGGAAGCAATAAATTTCAGACCAGACAAAGCAGGAAAAGATGAGGAAAGCCGGAAAGTAGGAAAAATAGGAAAAGGGCGGTGAACGTTTGGTCTGACGACAAACAACAACAACAACAGTGGAAAACAAGGCGGAAAACTAGAAAAATGTCCAAAACAATAATGTCGCCAAAAAATTTCCTGACTTTATAACCAAAAATATCCGAAAGTGATTCGAATTCGATTTCCCTTCCTGGAAAAGTCAGCAGAAAAGAAAGCAACGAAACAGGAAAATTTAAGCAAATAAATAACAAGAACGAAATCGAAAATGAGAACAACAGCAACAGCTGGCACAGGAGACAGGCGGGATACTAAGCAACAAAAAACGAAGCAAAAAAATAAGAAAAAGGACCTGGACTGCGGTGTAAAATTGCCAGCTCTGCGTGAAATCGAAGGACACAAGGACTAAAGGAGACGAAGGGGCGGGCAGGAATGGGGCTTAGAAAAGAATCAAAACCAAAAGCTAAAACCGAAAAGGCGCCGAAATTGAAAGCAGCATGTGAAGGGCGGAAAGAATGAAGAGAGAGACTCGTCGGGATAAAGAGGACCCACTGGGCGGGAGATCCCACGGTTTTTTCATAGTTCTACACTGCTAGAAATAAATTAAGATCGAGCATAAAGTGGAAACAGTAGCGAAATTCTAAGCACAAATGATAGTATTTGGGAATTCTTGCTTATAAACCATATATTAACAATAACTTTAACAAAGAACAGTCTTGCTACAGTTCAAAATTGAGTTTTCAGAGACCTCTACAAGTCCTACTTTATCACAACGTTTCCCAGTGCCTTTTTGGCTCAGTGTCTTACATCCTTTTTGGCAGAACAGGCTTTGCTACATTTCCAAAGGCTCGTCACAGCTGGCAGCCCCACCTAAACTTACACACACACCACACTCCGGCACAAATACCCCGTGTAAAGTCCTGTCTAGGAGCCGCTCTGCATTTGACAGCTTTACACCCGGATACAAAGGCAAAAGCTACACCAACAGCGTCAGCATTCAGCATCAGTCCGCCGCCCCTTCCCCTAAAACCAAAACGATGTCCTGCCCAGGAGGCTAAACGCAAAAATATTAAAAATTATAATGTTAACTTTTGCTTTGTTGTTTGACTGGCCAAAACGGGGCCCAGTCCTTGTTGTTGCTATTATTATTGCTGCTGCTAGGGTTAGACAGGCCTTTTCAGGCCCTCGGGTTCATTTTTATGGGTCGGATTGCTCGCTGGGATTTGTTTCTGCTGACTTTGACCCTTGAAATGCGATTTTCATAAGATTTTTATACATTTATTTGTTATGAATCGGGAATCGGGATATAAAAGGGGGGCAAGGCCTGCTTGGCGTTTCATTATTAAAATTAACATTTGCCATGACAGCCAGACCCACCTGTAACGATGAGAGGAGCGTGAGCTCTTCTCTGGGTCGACAGGTCAACTGTCACGTTCAATATTGCAGGCCATCAATGGCAATGGCAACCATTCGACCTCCCACACAAAAGCCTATATGTATAATAAACAAAAGCCAAGAGAAAATGGCAATGACAGCGGGCTGAATCGATACAGAAAAGCAGTTGAGAAAAGTGCAACTTTCGATTCAGGTTGAGATCAGAAGAAGATGAAGCCATGAATAAAACAATTAAAAATTATAATTAAGTAAATACAAATGTGGCTGTTTGAATTTATTTTAAACCCCTTGAGTACCTGTTAATTGTAATTAAAAACCAAATTGTAAGCTGAATACGATTAAGAATATATATATATATTGTGTAAAAGTTTGAGAGATTAATGTTACCCCTTTTTTTTTAAAGCTCTCAATTATCTCTCTGACATCATATATACCCTACCATACCTTGCGTAAATATTGAAGTGCTTGCAATGGACTTTGAGCCTGGCCCACAATCAAGGTTAATTGATTTTTAAAGCTCACCTAGAGCTCAATGCCTGGCTGCTCAATGTTGGCCGTTGGCTGCTGCCTGGTATCTGCCAGCTATCCGTGGGTTTCGTGGCATGAATAATGAAACTGGCTCCGATTGGATTGGATGGGTGTGTCCTGCTGCGGTCTTTCCTGCTCGGAGCTCGGAGCTCGGAGCAGGAGTTGGTCTGGTCTGGCTGTCAAAAGCGGGATAATCCCTGTGCCACGCTAACTGCCATAATCGCCGGCAGCCGCCTGGAAATCGCCCAATAAATACAGTCTGATCTGGATGGAAGCAGGACTGAGACTGGGGACAGGGCCAGGGACTATTAAAGGGAGTGGAAGTGATGGTGGCAATTGAAGGTGCACTCTCAGCAGAGTTTCCCAGGGAGTGTGGGTGTGTGTGGAGACCGTGTGTGTGTGCCTGGATGGCTGCTTGAGAATCATCATCGGTCTGCCACAAAAGTAATAAACCACAAAATGGTATTCAAAATGGCTGGCAATAAAGGCCAAACGCCAGCGAAAGCGGGAGGGGGGAAAACTGAAGATGGCGGAATCACTGCAAAAGAACAGGAAACGATACACTTAAATTTATAACTTTAATGTGATATCCAATCAAAACTATCCATATTAAAATGGGATTAATGCTTTATCTTATAGCTTTCTTTCGAATCGTTACATTTTTATTTGAAATAAGCATTTTAAATCAAAACTTTATTTTTATTTATTTCCCTTATTTATGTTTACGTTCATTTAATTTTAAAGGCATTCCTTGGCCATTATTTTGATCAGTGTAAAGCGAAGGACAGCGAAAAGTCGTGGGCCAAAGGCAATTAAGTTGCATACATTTTCGGTGCTTTTTACGAGTGGCAAGCGGCTAGCGGCACTTTGCGCGAATTTCAGGTTAGACGGGATATTTAAAACTGTAATTAAGTTTGAAATGTATATGCATTTGTGTGGGTGCCGCTCTGTGTGCGTGTGTGTGTGTGTGTGTGAAAAAGCGGAAATGCAAGCGGCGCATGCAAATCGATTTCACCGCCACTAAGCTCCGATTTCCACAGAAACTGGAAAATGCCAACGCTGGGATTTTCGGTGTCGGCTCACCACTTGGTCACCATCCGGAGGAAATGGTCCTGGGCCCAATCTTCACAGCGATTGTGTATTCAAAGGCGAGGGGGTCATAGCGATTATCAAAGTTCTCCTACTCACCCTGTCGTCAGGATTAACTTTTAATGATTTCGATTTCGGTAATTGGAAGCCATTTTGTCGTAATTTAAAATTCTGAGAAATTAACTTCTCCTTTGCTCTTGTTACATGGGTTTTTAAGATCTACATTTAAGCTATTTAATATTTATGTTACGTTTTCTTGATTTTGATTCGCAATAAGCAAATACTTACAATTCAAATATGTAATTAAAAGAAAAATTTTAGTAACTAGAAGAGGAGTAAGCCGACATTTCTATACCCTTGTTTTTTGCAATAGAAAATCGATCATAACTAAGCCAGAAAAGCTTTAATTTCAATTCGGAAAGCTGTTTTGTGTAAGTTTTTATTAGGTTAACAAATCTGCATAATAAAATAAAAATTTAAAAATATGTAAAAATTTTCCCTTTTTTTTTGGCAATTTTAACCCCATAAAATATTTTAAAAATTTTGAAAAAATAAATTTGTCCCGTACATAGCTAGATCGACTCGGTTGTTCATGCTGATGAAGAATATATATGATTTATAGGGTCGGAAATGTCTCCTTCACTTATTTGCAAGCCTTTGACAAAAATTATAATACTCAGCAGGATAAGTGCTCAGAACTTGTTTTTGAATTACTAATTACCAATCTACAATATTATTTTCTTTACAAAAGTCTGGAATATTAATCCTTAATCAAAATATTCAACACTCTTCTCCAATCTTCTATTAATTCCGACCCCTGAGTGGATTTTCCCATTCAAAACACCAACCTGCGGCAATACAACACTCATGAAAACCC